ACAAACTCCCCCTCTTCGGAAGTGTTCGCGTTGATCAGATGGACACCGCGCTGGAGCAGGTCCCTGCCTTGGTTCGTTCGGTAAGTTGCAGTTGTGCACTCGAGCGTTGATGTGAAGCATGTGAATGAAGCCCAGGTTATGATGAGCTACATCCTCGAGGAAGGTGGGTCAGCTTCTGCTTTTGAGGCTTACGTGTCCGGGAATCTTAGCATATCGGACAGATATCCGAATTGGGCAGAACTGCAGCGCTTTCTACATCACATTGAAGGCGTTGTGATGCCTGCCAAATCAACCCATCTCAAGTTCGATGACTTGTCAAATCTCATACATGAGCTTCAAGTGCACTTTGGTCGCTGGCAAGACGGCGAATGCCAAGAGCAGATGCGTGAGCTTCGCAAGATGGAGATCGAAGAGTGTCCCGGGCATGTGAATCTGCGAGACTTTTATGCTGCCAACCTGTACCACAACAAATGGCAGTTCAGCGAGAGTGCCGACTACCTCCGTGTCGTGGGTGCGCTCGAAGAAAGCGAGCCGGACAGTCCAAGAGTCATTATGTCCAACTATGTCCAGGGGCCCAACAATTGTGTAGCATCCTCTCGCTATTATTCTCAGTGTTGCATGAATCCATGCTCCAGTCATCTTTCCAGCCTCGAAAAGGCCGTTGCCGGATCAGAGGTCTCTCCCGAGCTGCTTCAGTCGGCTATTTCGATGGTACTGCCAAAACCAGAAGCCTCGCAATCTGAGCTCTGGGATAGGCTTCGGAAGATTGCACGTGATGGCAAAGTGGCACTGCACGGATCCTCTTTTGCAGAGTGGCTTCATTGGGCCTATCCTCGAGACTGCCCAGCCGTGTCGGGTGGTCCAACTCCTAGGCAAGAGAAGCCAACAGAGTATACTGCAAGGACGGGACTCCCTACCGACTTCCCAGAACACGACATGAGGAGCTTTGTGGAACAGGGACCGAAGCCAGCCAGTCAGTGCCATTTGAAGTGGCAGGTCTCTGGTGGCTTGGAGTCCTGGGATGAATCGGAATTGGAGAGGCGCTCTACCGGAAGGTTGTTGCTGGCTGCGCATGAGCAAGTCTTACAAATCTTGCGACCATCGGCCCCGATAGCAGCGGGAGCCACAGTGGCAGCTGCTGCAATGTTGTGTGCGCTGTGGCTTCGACCACGTTCGGCATGCAACGCACCGAGCTGCGACTTGCTTGTCACGCACGCCTCTCAGTAGCGTCGACTCTCACCAGGATCGCAGTACTACAGCACCTCCGTGGCAAAGGCTGAACACCGCCTTGCAAACATACATGACATACACTGTGCCTGCATTGACAGTGATGGGCAGCGTGTCGAATTTCAACGACAAATCTGGCTCGAAGCTGCAGCTGTGCAGGTACTCCAGATATGGACTGAAGCACTGCAAGCAAGTCTAGTGAAGTCTAGTGTCCAGCGTGCGTCTCGTCGCGGAGTGATCTCCATCTCAGACTATGCCATGCACTCGAGTTGTCAGGGCTCAGCCCCAAACTACAGCAAACCACACCACCAAGCAAACTCAGCAAATCCTGGAACACTTCGCGGTTTGAAGCTGTTTGGGCTCTGCGTCAAAGGTACCATGCTGGAGAGAAGCGTGTCGCCAAGGGCTTGTCTTTCATCCTGGCAGGCCACTCGGTTTAAAATCGAGCAGTGCCGGCGATGTCGGAGCACAGCAGGCGGGGCTTGGGCTGCATGTGCCGCCTCGAAGATCCTCGCTTCACGCGAGTCTTTGCTTCAACCGGGGGCTTGGCCATGCAGGAGAAAGATCACCTTCACCAAGCAGTGTTCTCAGTGTACGTACTATCACCAAAGTGCGCAAAGTGCAGCACAGAGCACTAACGCCCGTGCAAAGGAATGCTTCCCCGGTTGTGGATCCCCCCGCAGTCAATGAGGGACAGGGAGGCTATCCGAACCGCAGCGGCCTCAACCATGCGGCCACAATTTTGGCTTTGGGGTGTTCTGCCTTGCCCATATTTGCCCATATCCAGGCTAAAGTGTCATGTGTTCCTCTACTCACATGTTTCAGGGTCATTCAGCTAGCCAGTGTCTTGCCGAGGTGTCAGCACGACCAGGTTTACACTAGCGACGTGGTGCTTCGCCCAGCTTCCCTGCTGGTCCGCAAGCTCTTGCACAACGCAAGCGCGAGGCTTCCAAAGTCGCTTTTTGCACAGTTCCAGCGTGTGGACGGGACCTCAGATGCCAGTAAAACCCATGTCACAGCTTTGTAGGCCGCCAAATCAAAGAACTTAGTGAGCTTTTTCGGGGAAGTGACGGCAGGTTATATCATTATGGCATGTTGTGGGCTCTACATTGTACACAGGATCGCCGTGTGCCTCTTTCAGTCGGTGCGGGCGTGGCCTCTCCTTAGGCCAACATCTACTTCCTCTTCGTGAGTGTCATCGTCTGCATTCCAGACGGTCCGATGGCATGGCACGGGACTTGAACCGTTCTGATGCTTGGTGCCATGTGCTGTGTTGGTTTGGCTTTGGGCCAGGCCGGCAACCGTGCTGACCTTCTTGGGAGTCCTGCTCTGGACTGCTTTGAAGGACATTCTTGCCCTAGCTTCCGTGACGATAGAATGACTCAGTGACTCAGTGTTGTTCGCGTTCCTTGTGACAGACCTTACAGAGCGCTTGGCAGCAGCTGTGGCGGTCAGGACCTCTACGAAGACAGAAGACGGAAACGTGATGATGATGCAGAAAACTTGCGGAGGTCCGACCGCTCAGTGCTCAAGTCTGCAAATACATGTCTTCCTGGCCTGCAGATGTATGCGGTACAATGCACAGAGTTGCAGCTTCGAGGAGGCCCCGGCGTTGTCCTTCTCTAGCCTCGCACGTGCCTGTGTCTCTCACAACCCTGGCGGCTTGGATTACTGGTACAGAGTACCACTGTGCCCGAGACCTGCGCGAATCATGTAAGACTTGCGTCTTCAATGTAGTGACATAGAGTAGCTTAACATCTCTTACCACAAAGTTTGACGAATCCCGGGTCTGCGACCCATCCATGCCATTCCAGCTTCTGAGTTTCCAGGCAGTCAGTCATGGTTGGACAACCTCCGGAAGCAGAAGTCATGGTAAGATGTCCGCTTGAACGGCTTTGTCTCTGCACTCTGCACTCCTACAAAATTAAAAACGGATGCGGCAGACAAGCGTCTCCTCTGCGATACAGAGCATTGTCAAAACCACGTCGCGGGTTTGTGTTGGGGTCTCGGCAAGTCTGCCCAGAGGTTTCGACCAGTCCGCCAGCTTGCAAGAAGCTGAAACCAACCTCCGAAGTCTTGTTTCCGTGCCTTGCTTTCTATGCATGTGTGAAGCGCTGGGTGAAAGACTCAGCCAGTGCAGCCTGGAACACTAGCAGCCAGGAAAGCAACATCGTCTGCTGCATTTAGCATGCGATGAAGTCAAGCTGCAGCCTGTACCAGGTTAACTGGAAGGATGTGCTTGCTGGTGACATCCTGCTTAGCTTTGCTGACGAGGTGCGGCGGCGGTCTTGCTTCCAGTACTTGTCTTGCTGATCCAGAGTAAACCATTGGTTCTGGCCTCGTACTTGTAAGAGATTCCAAAGGATTGCTGCTTACCCATGCCTGCAGATGCCAGGGCTATGCCATGATTGAAGCCGTTTGTTGGACTCTAGCACTTCGTAGCAACAGGCGTTTCCAGCCGATGTGCTGCTCGTGCGAGCGGCTGGAGGGCAGGCTGCAGCGCAATCGCTTCTCCCAGTAGCCCCAGCACACGTCTATTGCGAGGCATTCATCTCAACGGTGAACTTAGATGGTGAGACTAACCTCAAGGCCGAGCTGACAGCATCAAGGGGGACCCAGAGTAGGCTCGAATCGTGATTTCACATGATGCGTCAGGAACGACGTGCCGCAGACCTGCTGTCTGCCATCACCGATATGCCTGAGGCAGCAGAACCGGGAGGGACTCAAAAGCAGCCTGAAGCGCTCCCTTAGCTGTGAAGGCAGGGCCGGATGTGCCACGCACCAAACTCGGACATGCAGCGCAAAAGCCACTACGGAAGTGACGGTGTAAGTCTCTTTGCACTCAGGAGGGGAGCAGGCACGTGAGCAGGTCTTGAAAATGGCCACGCACTTGGAATCAGACTGCTCGGACCGTCTGAAGCGACACGAGGATTGTGTCAGACTTAACTTTGAATGCGTTGCGGCTCAAGCCTAGCGTGCTGGATTTTGCTTGATGTGCCAGCATCGAATTAGTTGACGCCCCTCTACAGCAGGTGGTGATCTAGGCCCGCATGGTGGTCGAGTGCAGCACAGAGAGAGAGAGAGAGAGAGAGAGAGAGAGAGGGAGTCCTGAACATGACTCGTGAAGGATGCACCCGTACTCCTTGCACATACACGAGCGGTCCGGACCTGAGAAGGAATCACATTTTCGGGGCAACATGTTTACAGGCTCAGTGGATTGTAGCCAAAGTTCTGAGTCGCTAAGGCAATACAGAAGCCACAGAGCATGTGTGCATGATACTTGCGAATAAATATATCAACACATAAATCAGAAAAAAAAAGCAAAACAAATCATTACGCACGCAAGTTGCTGCAGCTTTTAAAGCCCGCATTTCACATGTTTGGATACCATGAGAAACCCATCAAGGCGTTCTGAGTGTTGCGCATCGCCCCTTTTCGTACACGTTTCAATCCGTCAAGACAGGTACGCCTACATGCGTGAACCAATCCAGGCTGAATTGCAGTGTTGCATACAATCTACTCAACCATGCACATGTCAGGACATCAAGGCAGAAACCTTGTTGCCTCGTATCTAACTACAAAAGGGAATCTTACCAGCAATCTTCATACATGCATACCCAACTGCATGCATGCATACATACATGCATGCAGGCGTGCATGCGTGCATGCATGCATACATACATGCATACATGCATACACAAATACATGCGTACATGCCTAGGCGCACACATAGCCGCATAGCTTAATGTGGTCTCGTTGACAGGAGAGTGTAGATGCTACTTACCACATTGCACTCGTTTGCCCTGGTCGCGGGTAGAATCCGGCAGCCTCGCGGCAGCACCTTGAGCTTTAGCAGTGTGGAGAGCAATGCCGACGTGCTAAGGCCTCTAACGCTCGTGAAGTTCAACTATGATGGCCCGCCTGGCATCATTTACGTGTGTGCAAAGTCATTGCAATGGGGTGTAAATGGCGTAGAATGAGGCGACTTCTTCATCACGTGCGGCAAAGATGGCGAAGTGAATCTCATTAGAACTGAGACCTGCGAACGAGTTGGGACGCGTCGCGGTTGCAAACAGCTGCAAGGACTTTTGGGTATGTCAGTTCTGCTTTTCCGACAGACTTCAAACCGTCCCTTGTCGATGTCTTGTCGTCGTTGGTTCAGGTACAACCCTCCCGGTGAGAAGGCTGGTGCAGTTTTTGCCGTGGATGTGACGATGGACAGCACATATGTGGTTACGGCCAACGCAGATGGAGTCTTTCCCCGCAATTCGCACTGTGTTTTTGCAGGTGCATATGAACTGCCGCTTGCTCCGCTATCATTTGTCCCATGCTGTGCTGGAAAGCTACAGGAAAGCTGTGCTTCTACACCTTCAAGGCAGCTGGGAGTGCAACACGGTATCGCAATTGGGAGCCGCGTCATGCGCCATGCGCCACCTGCAGGGGGAGCACGTCTCTGCCATCAACCATGGTGGCGTCTTGAAGTACGTCGAATGGAACCTGCAACCAGCTTGCAACATGCGAACGAGAATCCTGGGCCTGTGCTCGTTCAATCTGTCCGACGATGCAGGAGGTCAAACTTGAAACGTAAGGAAGCCGGGCGATCAAAACATGGTGTGCACGTGCAATGCCACTTGGACTTGCGCGATTTCCGAAGGGCTTGTCGAGCAGTGAGTGTCCGGACATCAGGCAGCTTTCTGACAGATGCGTCTCTGTCGCTGCGAGGACAAATTCAAGAGTCAATCAGAAGGCCTGGTTCCAAACAGGATTATGATCTGGTCCTTCGATCCTCCTCGGCGAATCCTGTCCATCGATGACCAGCTTCCCATGAAGGCCACCAAAGTCACTGGCCAGAATTCGTTTGATGCGTGTTGAAGTTGACTCAGCAGTCAGTTGAATCACAGGCCTTTTCTTGACATCAGGGTCTCCGTCGGCTGTTGTTGCCGCTCCTGCAGTAAGGTCAAATGGGGAGCTTTCGATGAAACACTTGCTGCTGTGCTGCACTGCAGACGGGTGCCCGTTTCACTTTACTGTAGGCTGAACGTTTCCTTTAAACGTGTCGCACTAAGGTCTCCATTTTTGAGGAAGGCACTGTGATCGTTTGGGACTCCTCGGACGGAAGGCAGCTGCAGCTCATTCAGGCACACCAGATGGCTGTCACAAGCAGCTTGGCGGTGCAGCGTTTCCGTTCTGGCTCCGGTCAGCTTTTCTGAAGCTTTGGTATTGCCTTATAGGTTCTTTGGCTTGGCTTGGGTTGGCTTGTCGCGGCATGCACAAACATCAAACAGCTCGCGGCCGTCCTGACCCATGCAGGTGTGGTCGTTGTCATAGTCGGTGTAGTTTGCGTCTAGGGAGATTACGTGCGACCTCAGTGCCCCGCTGACTTGCCACATTTTGTCGGCCTGACCTAACGGAGGAAGCACGAGACCGGACGCCAGCATCACTCAAGAGTACCGGCTGGTACCGGAAGTCGTCATCCGTGACGCCACGATATGTTTGTCACTAGCTCTCTCTCTCTCTCTCTGTGTGTGTGTGTGCACGTGCGCGTGCGCGTGCGCGTGCG